TGCCCGACCTCCCGGACTGGCACAGCTTGCTTAGGCGTAGCATTCGGATTTTTGACTTGGACATGGATGCCATTGTAGCAGCCTTGCATGTGATGTATGCTGATGACTCTAGTGTGCTTCCCTCTTATTACCCTGTGTTGCCTAGTGTAGCTGTGCCTGTCGTAGCCTCCCCTGCTGCGTCAGGCGTAGGATCTCCTGCTTTGCTTAGCCTCGGTGCTTCCACCGCTTCACTGCCGCCTCGCGCGACTGCTGCGCTTTCCTTCACCTTGGACTCTGGCGCCTCCCGGTGTTTCTTCCGCGACTCCACGACGCTGACGCCGCTGCCTGTTCCCGCTGCAGTTACTCTTGCTGACCCCTCCGGTGGTCCTGTCGTTGCCCGCAGTTCCACCTCCCTTCCCTGTCCGGCGGTTCCTTCAGGTTCGCTCACAGGTCTGCATATCCCCTCGTTCTCCAGGAACCTAGTTGGTGTCGGCTGCCTCCAGGACCTTGGCGTCACCACTACGTTCCCTGGTCACGAGCGGTATGCTGTCTGTACCGAGGCCGCCACTGGTGCCCCCCTTACCACTTTCCCCCGGGACCCGGTGTCCGGCCTGTTCACACTTGACACCGCGACTTCCCCGGCTGGGTCTTCCCCCCAGGTCGCTGCGTCCACCCAGGTTGCTGCTGCGTGCTCCTGTCGATCCCTCACTCACCCGACTCTCCTTTGGCACCACCGCCTTGGTCACCCTGCACTCCCGCGTCTGCGTCACATGTCCCAGCACGGTCTCGTCCTTGGTCTCCCCGGTTCGTTCCCCGAGTTTCCCTCCTCCCCGCCCCCCCGTGCACGCCTTGTGTCGAGGGCCGGCTCCGCCGTGCCCCTCACTCCTCCTCGTTTCCCCCTACCACCGCACCACTGCAGACTCTGCACATGGACGTCTGGGGCCCAGCCCCGGTCCATGGGCCGCGTCGCGAGCGCTTCTTCCTAGTGCTTGTCGACGACTTCACGCGCTACACCACCGTCTTTCCCCAGGAGCGGAAGGCCGACGTGCCTGACGTTCTCATCCCCTGGCTTGTCTCTGCTCGTGTCCACCGCGGTCTCCCTGCCTTGCGCCTCCACTCCGACCGTGGTGGCGAGTTTGCCTCAGGTGTCCTTGGTCGCTTCTGTCGTGCGGAGGGCATCACCCAGACGTTTACCCTGCCGGACTCCCCGCAGCAGAATGGGGTCGCTGAGCGACGCATCGGTTTGGTCATGGAGGCGGCTCGCACCTCCATGATCCACGCCGGTGCACCCCATTTTCTGTGGCCGTTCGCCGTGCGCTACGCCGCTCACCAGCTTAACCTGTGGCCGCACCCCCAGCGGCCGCCTGTTTCGCCGACCCTTCTGTGGACCGGGTCCCCTGGTGACGCGTCTGCGTTCCACGTCTGGGGCTGCCTTGCTCACGTTCGTGCCTCTGGCACGGACAAGCTCACTGCCCGCACCCTCCCCTGCGTCTTCCTCGGTTTCCCCCTTGACGCGTCCGACTGGCACTTCTACCACCCGCCGTCTCACCGCTTCTTTCACTCTCGCGACGTCACCTTTGACGAGTCCGTCTCCTTCTACCGCCGCTTCCCCCACCGTGGTCCCCCGGTTACTCCCCCCCTGTTCCTGGTCCCTCCTTCCCCGGTGGTCCCTGCCCCTCCCCCCCCCCGCCCCCCCGTCCGGCCCCCTCTGGTGTGTCTCACGTCACCCCCCTCCCGTCGGTCGTCCCGGTCGACGAGTCTTCTGCCTCTGGTAGTCCTCCGGCGCAGTCCTCGCCGTCTGTCCCTCCCCCGGTGTCTCCTCCTCCACCGCCTCCGCAGCCGCCATCGCCGCAGCTGCTGCAGCCGTCGTCTCCACCGCCGCCGCCGTTGCAGCCGTCGTCTCCGCCGCCACCGCCGTCGCGGCCGTCGCTGCAGCCGCCGCCGCCGCCGCCGCAGTCGTCGCTGCCGCTGTTTGTGGACTCTGGGGGTGCTGGCGTTGAGGTGGGTACTAGTCCCGGGGCTCCTGTCGTGGCTTGTCCCGGCGGGCCTGGGGGTGGTACCGGTGCCGGCGGGGTTTCGTGCTCTGGGGGTGTCCCTTCTGGGGGTGCCGGTGTGGAGGGTTCGGGAGGTAGCAGTCGCGCAGCTTGTGGCCCTGGCGTTGGTGTTGTGTCGCCGCAGCAGCAGTCCCCGCCGGTGTCCGCCCTCCGTCTGCTCGGCCTTCCGTCCCCTGACCCTGCGCCTGTTCCTCACCTGCCGTCTCCTCCTCTTCCCGTCTACGGCCCCGTGTTCCCTCCGCCGGACTCGTCCCCGGCTCGTTTTCCCCCTCGTTCCCCACCAGTGTCCCCTCCTCTGTCTCCTGACCCGACGCCTCCCTCTCACGTCTGGTCTCGCCGCCCCTCCCGTGCTCGTCCTGTCTCCCCCGTCCCGCGCTCTCACCCTATGTTGCTCCGGTCCCACGTGTCTTGTCCTCCCCTCCTCCCGTCTCCTCCTCCGTCCTCTCTTGTTGTTGCGTCTCCTCCTCTGTCTGACTACTTTCGTGCCGCTCGTCCTCTTGTTCCTCGGGTCCTTGCCTCTCTGGTTACAGACCCGTCTGTTCCAGTCTCGAGTCTTGACGCCCTTGTCGCTGCGGTCGCTGACTTCGCCTCTACCCGCCGCCTTGACTACGCTACCGCTCTGGTCTCCGACCCTGCCTGTCCTCCGTCTGTCGGGGGTGCTCCTGCCCTCGGCAGTGACGTCTTGGAGGACCGCCAGTTTGAGCTTGCTTTCCTGTCCGAGGCTGCTCCCCATCTCTGTTCCATGCTGCTAGTCCCTGAGGGTGACCCAGACGCTTTCGACATCCCGACCCCTCGTACTTACGCTGAGGCGGTTTCGGGACCCTGGGCCTCTCAGTGGATAGCTGCCATGGAACAGGAGATGGCATCTTGGAGATCCACCGGCACCTTCGTCGACGCAGTTCCCCCACCTGGGGTGAACGTGGTCGATGGCCGTTGGCTCTTCAAGGTGAAGCGCCCTCCTGGAGAGCCGCCTGTGTTCAAGGCGCGCTACGTGGCTAGAGGCTTCAGTCAGCGCGAGGGGGTGGACTTCTTTCAGACTTTCGCTCCTACGCCGAAGATGACTACTCTTCGGGTTCTGTTACACGTAGCGGCTCAGCGTGACTACGAGCTTCACTCTCTCGACTTCTCCACTGCCTTCCTTCAGGGCAGCCTTCACGAGCAGGTCTACCTGCGTCGTCCTCAGGGCTTTACTGGCACTTTCCCCCCTGGGACCCAGTGGCTTCTGCGGCGTCCAGTCTACGGCCTGCGCCAGGCGCCTCGTGAGTGGCACGACACGCTGCGTGCTACCCTTGCTGACCTGCAGTTCTTTCCGTCCTCTGCAGACCCCTCGCTCTTCGTTCGTGCTGGCCCGACCCCGTTCTACATCCTTGTCTACGTAGACGACCTGGTCTTTGCCACAGCTGACAGGGACGCACTGGCCTCCGTGAAGGCAGAGCTGCTGAAGAGACACACTTGCACTGACCTTGGAGAGCTGCGCCGTTACTTTGGCTTGCAGATCTCCAGGGACAGAGCCGCGCGCACCATCACCCTGACTCAGTCACACTTGGTGCGCCAGGTCCTTCAGAGGTTCGGCCTTCAGTTCTCCTCCGCACAGCCCACCCCTCTTCCTCTGGACCACAGACTCTCCGCTCCAGTTCCTGAGGAGTCGGTAGATCCCAGTGGTCCTTACGCTGAGCTAGTGGGTTGCCTCATGTACCTGATGACTTGCACTCGCCCAGATCTCGCATACCCTCTCAGCATCCTGGCTCGTTTCGTGGCCACAGGCAGACACCGACCTCAGCACTGGTCTGCCGCTAAGAGGGTTTTGCGTTATCTTGCAAGTACATCGGGCATGGGGTTAGTGCTAGGCGGACGCAGGCCAGTGGTCCTTACTGGACACACAGACGCTTCTTGGGCAGACGACGCCGAGACGCTCAGGTCTTCCCAGGGCTACTGCTTTAGCCTTGGCTCAGGTGCTGTCTCGTGGAGAGCTACCCGCTCCTCGTCTGTTGCCCAGTCCAGCTGTGAGGCTGAGATCTACGCCGGTGCCATGGCGGCAGAGGAGCTCCGCTGGCTGACCTTCTTGCTCACTGACTTAGGTGAGCGGCCTAGCTCTGCCCCGGTCTTGTACGCTGACAACAGGGCCATGATCCTCCTGTGTCAGGAGCCTCGACTCGAGGGTAGAGCGAAGCACATCCAGCTGCGGTACTTCCTCCTGCGCGAGCTCCAGCAGCGTCGCCAGGCTCGCGTAGTACACTTGGCCTCCGGTGCCAACACAGCTGATATCTTTACGAAGGCGCTTGCGCCTAAAGATCATCAGCGGCACTGTGTACAGCTTGGTCTGGTTCCTGTAGTCCCTCACTTACTCAGGCCTTGCCTTTGTACTGTCCTATATATATGTGTACACTCAGACTGGACTTGTGTCCTCTCACAGTGGTTGGACTAGTAGTGCCGCCCTGTACTTGTTCTTGTCTTGTCTGTACTCCTTCTGACTGGTCTTTTAGACCCTTGTCTCAGAGGCTGGACTAGTAGTGCCGCCCTGAGCTGCTTGTTTAGGACATTCCCTTATGCAGTCCAGGGGGTGTGTCAAACATGTTTATTGATCATGTTTGTATAGACTGTATAGGGTAACCTCCTAGAGGGTACAACATTTAGGTATATGTGCATGTACTCTCTAACTCTATGATAATTCAATTCTAGTTTTGAGAAAGCTAGCCTCTTCCCAGATTCAATGCTCGCCTGAGATCGTATTCGCAGAACCCCGTTTCAGACAAATTCTGTTTCAGATTCGCGTTCCAGGGTTTGAGATCCACAACAGAAAAACCTCGCGTCGAAATTGCGCTGTACAGATATGCGTATATTAGGAAAGAGACACAAGAAAAAAGATGTCGGGACATACCCTGAAATTCGGAAACCCCAACGTTGCATCGCACCACTCGGAACTCTAGTGAACAACTTCAGATTTAGAGTCGGGGAAGAAGTTGGCTGGGAAGGGGTTCGTAAGAACACGCTCTAACACGAGGGAGCTAATAGATATTATCCCAAAGTGTCTGACCACATGAACAAGTTTATATATGAATGCATGATACAAGATGATGCAATATCTACAGTTAAAATGTGTGAAGAAACTTGAGCTCAGCAGAGCTCCCAGCCCAGACCAGCAGCACAACAGAGGGAGTCCCTTCCACCCACCCAGAGTCATGCACACTCACACCACCACCTAAGTTAGTAATAGCCCCAAGGAAAAAGAAAAACCTAATAACCAAGCGAAAGGCTCAGTTCCTTACCACTGTTAGTCTCAAGCTTGCTGCATCCGTGGTGGTAGATAGGATGACTGATGTTAGCACAGCACCAGCCCCTGCGAAAGCACAATACGGACAACAACAGCCAACAGTCAGGCCTTCGGATGCACGCACCACAAAACCAAGGCAATTCACCCCTCACCTGCTGCTGCCTCAGGTTCTTCCCACTCGGCCCGCCAAGCCTGACGCAAAGCTCAGCCTGACGGAAAGGGTTGGGCACGTGGAGAAGCATGCGGGCAGGGGTTGAGAGGAAGGCCAATTGAAGGGGAGTGGGCCGGATGGGTGCACACTGGAAGGAGGAGGCCGACCAAGGGACATGGAATGAGGATGTGCAAAGGGCAGAAAAGATCTTGTTAGCTGCAACAGCAGCGCGAAAGCGATATAAGACTCATGAGAGAGTAACGGAATCATGCTCGAGAGCAGGAAAGAGCGCACTTGAGAGTGGGTCGCGGCCGTGCCTCCTGCCTCATGCTGGGATGAGCTGATGCTAGTAACCCAGGCTGGCAGGGGGGGGGGTGACCATGGGTACAAGGGGGGGGAGATGGCAGGGGACAGGGGGAAAAGGGAAGAGGAGAAAAGGGAGGTGGCAATAGCGGGGAGGAGACGACACGAGGAAATGCAGAACAAGACTGCATGCAAGTGAGGGTGCAGGGGCAGGACAAAGCACCGATGTCTTGAAACGCTTGTACAAAAAGCCACAGCAAGCAATAGCCACGGCAAGCCACGCCACAGCACGCAGGAAACACCTCCAGCTCGTCCAGGCTGCCATTGACGCCCGCTGCTGCATGCCCCGCCTCTGCTCCCCCCACAGCTGCCTTCGCTGCACCCCCCTCCGCCCCCCCATTCCCCTCGCCTCCCACCCCTGCTGCTCCCCCATCCCCTCCAGCACCCACAGTCACCAACACAGGCGACACAGGCGAACCCCCCCCTCCGGCAGCAGCCACAGCAGCTGCGGCCGCAGCAGCGGAAGCAGAAACAGCAGCAGCAGCTGCAGCGGGCGTGAGCGCCCTCTTCGCCTCGCTCTGCTCCTCCCTCCCCTCCTCCGCCCCTCTCTTCCCCAGCACCTTCCCCCCGCCAGCAGGCGATACCCCCGCACCCTTCTCCTTCTTCCCAGACCCTTTCCCCACTCGCGACACCCTCCGGGGCTTCACTCCGCCTGGGAAGGCAAACGCGGGCAGCTGCTTGCGCTTCAGGTAGACCACGTCGATCCCCATGCCCTCGCGCCACATCTGAAAGCTCTCCACCGTGCTCTTGAAATCGTCCACCGTGTACCGGATATCAAACTCCCGCGCGCCGGCCCCCCCGGCGCCCCCCTCCTCAGTGCCATTACCAGCGGTGGCAGCGGGGGCGGGGGGCGCACGGCGCTGGAGGCCCATGTAGAAGAGGCAGTGTGGGTAGGTGCGCGTGGGGTCGTGGATGTCACACACGTGCGGGTGGCACTGCAGCAGCCCGTCCGTGTGCCGCTCGATCTGCCGTGTGTTGCGGGGTGGGGTGTCACGAAATGGGGGATGGATAGGTTGGTGGGATGGTGGGGGAGACTTGTGACGCCAGTGAAAGTCCGCAGTCGTGACTCGACCCAGCCCTTCCACTTGCGCATGTCGGCAGTCAGAGCTGACATATCCACCCTCCCCCCAGCCCTTCCACTTGCGCATGTCGGCAGTCAGAGCTGACATATCCACCCTCCCCCCAGCCCTTCCACTTGCGCATGTCGGCAGTCAGAGCTGACATATCCACCCTCCCCCCAGCCCTTCCACTTGCGCATGTCGGCAGTCAGAATGGATGTGTCAGAGCTGGAGATCAACACACATCCATTCTGACACACCCACCCTCCCCCCAACGCACACCCACACACCCATACCCATACCCATACCCATACCCATACCCATACCCATACCCATACCCACCCGAGTGACGAGCGTTCTGAGCCGCGACTCGACCCAGCCCTTCCACTTGAGCATGTCCGCATCAGAAGCGGCGCTGATGTCGATCTGCAAGTAGTGGTTGTAAGCCTCAAAGAACGCAAACGGCTCAAACAACTCCGCCCACTCCGTCCGCACCTCCCCCGCTCCCCCTGCCCCTCCCCCTGCTCCCCCCACTGCTCCCCCCACTCCTCCCCCTGCCGCACCCCCGCCGCCGCCACTCACCGCCCCCTCTATCCGATCACAGATCTCCTTCCCCCTGCGGAACTCGTCCTTCATCACCCTGAGCGTGCTCTCCGACACATTGTAGCTACTGTTCATGCACGGGTACGCCGGCGTGATGATGGGCATCAGGTGCAGCGCGTCCCTGGGGTTGCGCCGCGGGTCCCAGATGGGGAAGTTAAAGCCCATGGCGCCGTCATCGATCTTGCACAGCATGATGGGTAAGGGCCACTGCCAGATGTTGTAGAAGCGGAAGAAGCGGGTTACCAGCATGGAGGGGGACGCGTTGGGGTACAGCTGGCAGACCCGCCCCGCTAGGATGGCCCAGTTGACTCCGCCTAGGAAGCCGGAGACCTGAGGGAGTGGAGGGGTACGGGAGGGGAGGGAGGGGAAGGGAGAAGCGGGTTACCAGCATGGAGGGCGACGCGTTCGGGTACAGCTGGCACACCCTGCCCGCTAGGATGGCCCAATTCACTTCGCCTAGGAACCCAGAGACCTGCCAGGGGGTGGAGGGGGGAGAGAGGGTGCGGAGGGGGGGGGGCATGATGGGGAGCGGCCACTGCCGGATGTTGTAGAAGCGGAGGAAGCGCGTCACCACATGGAGGGGGCCGCGTTCGGGTACAGCTGGCACACTCGTCCGGCTAAAATGGCCCAGTTGACTCCGCCTAGGAAACCAGAGAGCTGAGAGAGTGGAGGGGGGAGAGAGGGTGCGGAGGGGCGAGCATGATGGGGAGCGGCCACTGCAAGATGTTGCCAGGATGGCACAGTTGACTCCTAGGAAGGAAGCCAGAGACCTGCCAGGGGGTGGAGGGGGGACGGAAGGCGGACGGGGGGGGAGAGGGGGGTCACCAGCATGGAGGGGGACGCGTTGGGGTAAAGTTGGCTGACCCGCCCTGCTAGAATGACCCAGTTGACTCCGCCGAGGAACCTGGAGACATTATGGGGGGGGAAGGGGGGAGGAAGGGAGGAAGGGAGGGAGGGAGGGGGTGTCTGGGAGGGAATTGAGCCCACGGTGGGCACGAGGCGGAGGCAGAAAGGAGAGAGCGGAAGCAAGAGGCGGGTTGGACCTGGCCCGCGGTGGGCACGATGCTTCAACTGCCGATGGCCGAGAGCCGACCTCAGGGCGCGAGCGAGAAAGAAGCATGTGCACAGTCGAGCGCGGCTGGGCAACGAGCGAGCTATATTGCAGGTGGGTGAGGGGGGCTTGAGATTGCATTTTGAGACGTCTCAAAACTCGAGGGAGCTATCTTGCAAGGGGGGACGGGGGGGGGGGGGGGGGGGGGAGCTGGGGGATTGCAGGGAGGGGGAAGGCGCAAGAGGTAACGGAGAGGCGATGGGAGAAGGACGGTTTCGGGAGGCAGGGGGAGGGGGGAGGCAAGTGAGGAGCGAGGAGGAATAAGGGGTGGGGAGGAGCGTGCGGCATAGCTCACATTGGAGTAGACGCCTCGCTTCTTGGCCCAATGCTTCATGCACCGCAGCGTCAGTCGAAACGTCTGCAGCACATGCCACATGCCACATGCCACATGCCACATGCCGCATGCCACAAGCCACACCGCACACCACACAGTCATAAAAAGCAAATCCAGGCACACAGAACACGCACAGAACACGCACAGAACACGCACAGAACACGCACAGAACACAGCAAGCACATGCGGAAAACAGCAGCACTCAGCGCCTGAATGCTTTTGAGTCGACTCAAAAGCGAACTTTCTCTCAAACCACGCAATCTTGCACCATAAGCCACTCGCCTTCATCCACGCCCAGCCCTTCCCATCCCCACCCCCACCCCCACCCCCGCCCACCCTCCACGGCTCCCATCCCTGCCCTGCACCCAACCTAGACCTTGACCCGAGCCAAACATCAAACCGTACCTCGATGTTGGGCGTACTCGTTATAAGCGTACCTCGATGTTGGGCACGAGCTTGAGGATCTGGTCCGTGACGCGGCAGCCGTTCAGCGAGCGCTGCGTCCACTCGTCCACGTTCTGCAGAATCGACTCCTCAGATAGATCCAAATCCTGCCGCCCATTCGGCATCACCAACCAACCAAGCAACACGAAGCAGGCAAACACCACGAAGCAGGCAAGCAGCGAACACCACGAAGCAGGCAAGCAGCAAACACCACGAAGCAGGCAAGCAGCAAACACCACGAAGCAGGCAAGCAGCAAACACCACGAAGCAGGCAAGCAGCAAACACCACGAAGCAGGCAAGCAGCAAACACCACGAAGCAGGCAAGCAGCAAACACCACGAAGCAGGCAAGCAGCAAACACCACGAAGCAGGCAAGCAGCAAACACCACGAAGCAGGCAAGCAGCAAACACCACGAAGCAGGCAAGCAGCAAACACCACGAAGCAGGCAAGCAGCAAACACGGGATGGCTTTTGAGTCGACGCACAAGGGACCACTGCATCCACTCGTCCACGTTCTGCACGATCGACTCCTCTGATAGATCCAAATCCTGCCGCCCAGCCATCATGAGCCAACTCGCCAAGCATATGAGGTTGAGAGATGAAACTGACACTTAGCTCGACTCTCCCACACTCGAAAAGAAACTGGTACTTAGATAGATAGATACTGCCGTTCATAACGTGCCGTGCAAAACATCATAAACAGTGATCGCACTGGCCTCGGAAACGACCGCTTGCAAGAGGTGCGCGTTTGCTCTCACAAAATACGCGCAGTTGTGTCAGACTGTCAGAGAGCTGCACGTGGGTCCTGGCGATCTTGAGGTCAAGTCGAGGAGCACTGACCTCGGGCACGACCGTCTGCGAGAGCTATGCGTAGAGCAGGTCGATGGAGATGCCCGGAACTTGACATTGATGCATGCGATATTACTTCAGACTTGCCCGCAGAACGACGGTAACGCATACCTCCGGTACCACCGTCTGTGAGAGCTGCGCGTAGAGCAGGTCGATGGAGATGCCGCGGAACTTGAACTTCATCACCGGCACGTGCGCGTCCGGCACGGAGTGCAGCTCCTCCACCTCCGGCAGCTGCGCCAGCATGTCGTGCAGCTCGCCGAAGAAGTCCTCCTGGAAGGGGGAAGGCGGGGAGGCGGAGCACGGGAGGGGGAGACAAAGAAGGCGGGGAGGCGGAGGGGGGGAGGGGGAGACAACGCAGGGGTGAAAGGTGTGCGCCGGGCTCAGAGTGAAGCTCCTCCACCTCCGGCAACTGCGCCAGCATGTCGTGCAGCTCGCCAAAGAAATCCTCCTGCGATAGAGAAAGACGGGGCGGGCAGAGGAACGAGAGAGAGGCGTTTTAGATCAGGAGAAGAAGGGGAGGCAGGAGGGTTGGAAGCACGCGGCAGCACGCACGCGGCAGCACGCACGCGGCAGCACGCACGCGGCAGCACGCACGCGGCAGCACGCACGCGGCAGCACGCACGCGGCAGCACGCACGCGGCAGCACGCACGCGGCAGCACGCACGCGGCAGCACGCACGCGGCAGCACGCACGCGGCAGCACGCACGCGGCAGCACGCACGCGGCAGCACGCACGCGGCAGCACGCACGCGGCAGCACGCACGCGGCAGCACGCACGCGGCAGCACGCACGCGGCAGCACGCACGCGGCAGCACGCACGCGGCAGCACGCACGCGGCAGCACGCACGCGGCAGCACGCACGCGGCAGCACGCACGCGGCAGCACGCACGCGGCAGCACGCACGCGGCAGCATGGGACGAAGCTCCCATGTGATGAGGATGCGAGGCGAGGCTGGATGAGAGGCGGGCTAGGGTTAGAGGCGAGGTAGGATGAGAGGCGAGGTAGGATGAGAGGCGAGGTAGGATGAGAGGCGAGGTAGGATGAGAGGCGAGGTAGGATGAGAGGCGAGGTAGGATGAGAGGCGAGGTAGGATGAGAGGCGAGTTAGGATGAGAGGCGAGCTAGGATGAGAGGCGAGCTAGGATGAGAGGCGAGGTAGGATGAGAGGCGAGGTAGGATGAGAGGCGAGGTAGGATGAGAGGCGAGGTAGGATGAGAGGCGAGTTAGGATGAGAGGCGAGGTAGGATGAGAGGCGAGGTAGGATGAGAGGCGAGGTAGGATGAGAGGCGAGGTAGGATGAGAGGCGAGGTAGGATGAGAGGCGAGGTAGGATGAGAGGCGAGGTAGGATGAGAGGCGAGGTAGGATGAGAGGCGAGGTAGGATGAGAGGCGAGGTAGGATGAGAGGCGAGGTAGGATGAGAGGCGAGGTAGGATGAGAGGCGAGGTAGGATGAGAGGCGAGGTAGGATGAGAGGCGAGGTAGGATGAGAGGCGAGGTAGGATGAGAGGCGAGGTAGGATGAGAGGCGAGGTAGGGTGAGAGGCGAGGTAGGATGAGAGGCGAGGTAGGATGAGAGGCGAGGTAGGATGAGAGGCGAGGTAGGATGAGAGGCGAGGTAGGATGAGAGGCGAGGTAGGATGAGAGGCGAGGTAGGATGAGAGGCGAGGTAGGATGAGAGGCGAGGTAGGATGAGAGGCGAGGTAGGATGAGAGGCGAGGTAGGATGAGAGGCGAGGTAGGATGAGAGGCGAGGTAGGATGAGAGGCGAGGTAGGGATGAGAGGCGAGGTAGGGGTGAGAGGCGAGGTAGGGGTGAGAGGAGTAAAAGCGGGGAACGAAAGACAGGTGAGGGATCTGCTGGCGTACCTCTCTGGTGGCGTGGCGCGGGCCCACGCAGAGCGTGTCGATATCGGCGCCCGGGCCGTGCACCTGATGATTGGGGCACGGGCGACGGCGGCAGGGACAGCAAACAGTAGGAAGGTGAAGGAAACGGAGGAGACGGAGGAGCGGAAGGATGGATGGAGCAGAGCGTGTCGTTATCGGCGCCCGGGCCGTGCACCTGATGATGGGCGCACGGGCGACGGCGCGGGGAGGAAAACGGCAGCGATGACGAGCGAGATCGAACGGATGCACGGAGAACCAAGACGGAACCTAGACGAGCAGCAGCGCGGGGAGCGGTAACCGAAATCGCAGCTCCGAAACGCGTCGACAAGGCGAATCGTGGCGTTGGAAGCACAAGGCGCGATGCCCAACGGGAGGCTTACCCCGAGGCGGTAGGAGCCGAAGGTGACTAACCCCGAGGCGGTAGGAGTGGGGAAGAACGAACGATTCTCACTCACCCCGAGGCAGCGTGCTGGGAAAAGAGAACGAGGCTCACCCCGAGGCGGTAGGAGCCGAAGGTGAAGATCTTGGCGTTGGCGTCGGCGACGAACTGGTCGTTGAAGCCCTTGCGCCGACTCACGCTCTTCACCCACGCCTTCACCAACTGCCGTGACTCGCAGCAAGGAAAGATAAACAGAGAGAAACCAAGGAAGGGATACGTAAGAGCCAGGGTGGTGGAAGCTCTTGCGACGACTCACGCCCTTAACCCACGCCTTCACCGACTGCCAGGCCGACAGGGAACAGATTTGCACACAGGGGAACACAGAGGCTCTCACGGCCTCAACCAAGCCCGCACCATTTGCGCGGCGAGATACCGATTCATTATCAACGCCGAGGCACATGGGGTGTTGGGTCAAGCGGCGTCGGTAAAGCGAAGAGGAGGAAAACCTATACAAGAGAAACAACAGCAGGCGAGTCGCAGCGTGCGGCACGAACGGACCTCGTCGAGCCGACCGAGAACCTCCCCTCTCACGATGGCATCGTCTTCATAAGCGAAACGGACAAAGACAAAAGGAAATGGGTTGCAGCGCGTGAAAACGGACCTCGTCGAGCCGACCAAGCACCTCCTCTCTCACAATGGCCTCCTCTTGGCTCTCGTACAGCCCGGCATCCAATAGAAACTGCACACGTGGCACGGAAGCGATTGACGCGTCAGCGCAGAAAATCTCACATCGTTTCAACACGCGGTAAGTAGATAGCAGGGATCCCTGCACGACGGAAGCGGAGACTCGACTCGCGCATCACCTTTTCGAGCTCTTTCGTCCGTTGAACGTCCTGCGGCGAGGGTCCTGCGAGGGATATGGGATTAACGCTCGCCATAGCCCCGCGCGAGGACTCACTCGCCACTAGGACGGCACTCTGTCGACTCAGCTGTCAGATCTTCAGGAGGTCTAGGCTCGTGTACTAACTGCCGTGTACACTTAGGAAGGCTGGTTGGTGGAGGGTGGGGAAATTAGGGAAAGGGTTTGGGTGGCATGGCATGGGGTTGAGTGGTGGGGGGGATGTGATGTGATGGAATGGGATGTGGCATGGAGCGAGAAAGCGCGGGAAACAGGTCATGGAGTTGACGGGTGTCAGTCTCAGGAACGAAGACATTGGCTCAGTAACCACTTAGTAACTTTCAAGTCACGCCAAGGACGTATAATCTAGATGGACGAGGTGGACGCATTAACTTTGTTGTAGACCCTTTCACAAAACCCACCCCGTGGCAAGTCCTCTCATGTAATGATGTTTTGGTGTTCAGCAGAAGTTTGAAAATATATTTCGAACCAAGAGGAAACAAGTAAAAACGATCATATAGCAGCAGAAAGGAGGTAGTGGCGCTGTACTGAGCGACAGAGTGCGGCGGAAAGCAATGGTGTACGGTGCGGTGCAGTGCGGTAGGGTGCGGTGCAGTGCGGTGCAGGGTGGTGGAGTGCGGTGGAAAGGGGCCGATGCAGCTAGGTGGGGTAGGTCGCGGGGCGGCTGGAAGACGGGGCTGGCTGGGCGACGGGGCCGGCTAGGGGACGGGGCCGGCAAGGCGACAGTGCCGGCTTAGGCGACGGGGCCGGCCGGGCTACAGGGGCCGTCTAAGCGACGGGGCCGGCTAGGCGACGGGGCCGGCTAGGTGACAGCGCCGGCTTAGGCGACGGGGCCGGCCGGGCTACGGGGCCGTCTAGGCGACGAGGCCGGCTAGGCGGCGGGGCCGGCTGGGCTACGGGCCCGGCTGGGCGACGGGGCCGGCTAGGCGACGGGGCCAGCTGGGCTACGGGGCCGGCTAGGCGACGGGGCCGGCTAGGCGACGGGGCCGGCTGGGCTACGGGGCCGGTTAGGCGACGAGGCCGGCTAGGCGGCGGGCCAGCTAGGCGCTCGGTGATGGGGGGGCACTAGGGGACGGGCCAGCACGGGCGGGAGGGCGACGGGGCGGCTATGACCTATGGCGGAAGCGCCGGTGCAGGCCCCCAAATTGGTTTTCGGGTTGTCTAATTCGTCAGAATCCCCTGCCATCCCTTGGTATGGCCATCAGAGTTGCCCCTAAAAAAACGTCTGAAAAATCAGAGTAACTAGAGAGTTTTGTATGATCAATCAGAGTCACTATGTTTTCAAAATCTGATTTTAAAGCCGATGTCACATCACATGTCATTGAATGTCCTCTACTCAGGCTCATCTACCAGCTCCTCCAATTTCGCTTTCTTCGTACTCCAGCTATTTGTGTGCGGGCGAAATCGCACAATCGTACCACCCAAGACCAGGGCGTGTTTTTGACGGGTAGTTTTCCGAATTTCGGGGAAATAACGGGTGACTTTTTCGCTGAACTTGGATTCCGACGGGTGACTTTTCCAAAAACGGGGTTTGAACCCGGATTCTAACGGGTCCTTTTGGCAGAATTGGCTGTGAAACCCGGATTTGACAGGTAAATTTTGACAAACAGGGTACTGAACACGGATTAAGACGGGTAGTTTCGGCCAGATTCCTGAATCTGGTGGGTGCCCCAAAAACCAAACGTAAGCCCTGCCCAAGACCCCCGGCCCACGCTAATTACACGTGCCAGCAATGGGGTGGACTGGTTCGTGAAAAACGGCATGTGCGTGCGGGACGAAATTGGGGAAGGAAAGGAATTCGGGGGGGCAAAATAAATTTGCAGACGAGGGAAATCTCGCGAAGGGCCAATGGGCCCCCTCGCACACACAGGCCGCGGGCGGCGCACATCAGGAAATGTTTTTTTTTGTGAAGGGCCAATCGGCCCCTCACACTGCCTCTACCACAGGTTGGGAGGTGATTTGTCAGCTCCCTCACACAGCCCCCTTGTACTCATTGGCTGGCCTTCGATTTTCGCAAAGGGCCAGTCAGCTCCCTCACACAGCCCCCAGTACATACTGACCTTTGATTTCGTAAAGGGATACTAAGAGCCCTCACAAAGCCCCCCCCCACCAAGCATTACGCCCTGATTATGGCTAAGGGCCAGTCAGCGCCCTCCACAGGGGTACCAGCACAAATCACACTCCCCCCAAATCTCGGTATTACAGAGAATCAGAGTCAACCCCCCATATAGGGTTGAGGCATCAGAGTACACTAGTAAAAAGTGTCTGGAAAATCAGCGTAGGTACAAAAGGGTTCTCTGAAAAATCAGAGTAAGGTACAAAAAAGGGTCTTTGCAATCAGAGTACACCCCAAAAAAAATTCTGAAAAAGTCTGAATCCGAATAAAAAGTCTGCAATTTGGGAGCCTGCGCCGGTGGGAGGGGGGGACCTACCTAACCTACTCATGATACCATATCAAAGTTAACGAATGACTAGAACAATGACATACAAGGGGATATTGTCAACTTATATATATGTTGCATGTAGAAGTTATAGGCTAGCCTAGGTGTGTGCTTCTAATGAGTACAACCCCAACAGGTATATGTTCTAGGTTTCACACACTAGTCAAACATTCTCGTATTCTAACATGGTATCGAGAAGGTAAGGTCCACCCACCCGCTTCCGCTCGCGCCTTAGCCTCTCGCCTCCCCCTACCTACCTAGCCCGGCCCGGCCCTTAGCGCCCGCTTGGCCTGCAGCGCCCGCCCGCCCCTTAGCGCCCTCCTGGCACCTGTCGCGCCCGCCTGGCCCCTGTCGCGCCCTCCTGGCCTCGTCGCGCCCGCCTGGCCTTGTAGCACCCTCCTGGCCCCCGTCGTGCCCTCCTGGCCCCGTAGTGCCCTCCTGGCCCCCGTCGCGCCCTCCAGGCCCCGTCGCGCCCTCCTGGCCCCCATCGCGCCCTCCAGGCCCCGTCGCGCCCTCCAGGCCCCGTCGCGCCCTCCTGACCCCCGTCGCGCCCTCCAGCCCCTGTAGCGCCCTCCTGGCCCCCGTCACGCCCTCCAGGCCCTGTAGCGCCCTCCAGGCCCCGTCGCGCCCTCCTGGCCCCCTCGCGCCCTCCAGGCCCTGTAGCGCCCTCCTGGCCCCCGACGCGCCCTCCAAGCCACCGTAGCGCCCTCCTGGCCCTCGTCGCGCACGCCTGGCCCCACCGCGCCCGCCTGGCCCTGTTGCGCCCGCCTGGCCCCAACGCGCCCGCCTGGCCCCGCCGCGCTCGCCTGGCCCCACCGCGCCCTCCTGACCACCCCTAGAGCCCGCCGGGCCCCTGGTCTGCTGCGCGCGCCGACCCCTCCTAGCGCCCGCCCGGCCCCTCCTAGCGCCCGATCGGCCCCTACTAGCGCTCGCCCGGCCCCTCCTAGCGCCCGCTCGGCCCCACCTAGCGCCCGCCCGGCCCCACCTAACGCCCGCCCGGCCCCACCTAGCGCCCGCCCGGTCCCTCCTAGCGCCCGCCCGGCCCTTTCCACAGCGCCCGCCCGGCCTCTCCTCCTGCCTCCTCGGCCCCGATACGCCTGCCCGGCTCCTGCGGCCCGCAACTCCCCGTGCCCGCCCGGCTCTTGCGGCTCGTGTCGTTTGCTTGCTGCGCTGGAGCATCTTGTCGCTGTCCTGTGGAGCTGTGCCGCTGTGTCCCTGTATCGCTGATTCTGCACGATGGCTGACTTCGTCCTCCGCCTGGACGCGGAGGGCCACGCGGTTGACTTCGTCGCCTGGCTGTCTGATCTCCGCCGTCACCTTACAGGTCAGCGTCAGGATGGGCACTCCTTGGTTGTCCATGTTGATGGCTTGCTCCCCCGCCCCCCTGCACCTGCTCCCCTCCTTGCTGACCCCACCTCTACTGAGCGTGAGGTTTTCTCTGCTGCTGCACTTGCATGTGCAATCTGGGACTCTCACGATGCAGTTGCTCAGGTCGCTATTAGTCATGCCCTCCCTGTGCCTGAGCGTTCGCGTTTCGCTACAGTTGATACAGCCACGGCTTACCTAGATGCTGTAGTTCCTCGCTATTCCACGCCTGCCTCTGCTACTGCAGGCCGCCTGCTCTTTCCTATGCTTTTCCCAGACCTTTCTTCCTTCCCTACTGTTGCTGATCTTGCGACACACGTGCACTGACCTTGGAGAGCTACGTCGCTATCTTGGCCTGCAGATCTCTAGGGACAGAGCAGCATGCACCATCACTCTGACACAGTCACACTTGGTGCGCCAGGTCCTTCAGAGGTTCGGTCTTCAGTTCTCCTCCTCACAGCCCACACCTCTACCTGTAGACCATGGGCTCTCTGCTCCCGTTCCTGAGGAGCCAGTAGAGCCCAATGGCCCCTACGCAGAGCTGGTGGGCTGCCTCATGTACCTGATCACTTGCACTCGACCAAATCTCGCATACCCTCTCAGCATCCTGGCTCGCTTTGTGGCCACCGGCAGACACCGACCACAGCACTGGTCGGCCGCTAAGAGGGTTTTGCGATATCTAGCAAGTACATCGGGCATGGGGTTCGTGCTTGGAGGACGCGGGCCACTGGTCCTTACTGGACACACAGACGCTTCTTGGGCAGACGACGCTAAGACTCTCCACTCGTCGCAGGGCTACTGTTTTAGCCTTAGTTCGGGTGCAATCTCTTGGAGATCCACTCGCTCGTCGTCTGTTGCCCAATCCAGCTATGAGGCTGAGATCTACGCCGGTGCCATGGCGGCACAGGAGCTCTGCTGGCTGACCTTCTTTCTCACAGACTTAGGTGAGTGGCATAGCTCTGCCCCGGTCCTGTACGCTGACAACAGGGCCATGATACTCCTGTGTCAGGAGCCTCGACTTGAGGGCAGAGCGAAGCATATCCAGCTGCGGTACTTCCTCCTGCGCAAGCTACTGCAGCGTCACCAGGCCCGCGTAGTTCACGTGGCCTTCGGTGCCAACACAGCTGATGTCTTTACTAAGGCGCTTGCGCCTAAAGATCATCAGCGGCACTGTGTACAGCTTGGTCTTGTTCCTGTCGCTGCTTCCATGTTAGGATCCTGATTGTGAGAGTACACTCACACATCAGCGGCACATCAGCTTTTAAAAGTACAAAACAAGTCTAACGCCAAATGCAGCTGTGGAGGCAACTTTTATTCAGTGGGCTGATTCCCGTAT